TCCTCATATCTTAGCCTCCTGAGGTTATAGATGTGAGCCACCAGTGCCTGGCCATTTTTTTTCTTTTTTCTTTCTTTCCTTTTTTTTTTTTTTTTTGAGAGAGAGAGGTCAATGAAATGGGTCAATACATGTTTTCTGTTTTGTTCTTCGTAAAAACAGAACCATTTAGTAAATAAAATAAAAATTCTATTGATAGGAGCTATAGCAATGGAGGATGCAGAATTATCTTTATGACAATCTAGCAATGAGAAGAAATGTTTTCCATTTTGTAGAGAAATGGAACTGCTCATTTATTCTAAGACAACAAGATAAATATGAGATGCCTACTTTGGCCTCCTTTATGCTCACCCAGAGAAAACCAACGTGAGTTCCTTTAATTAATAAATATATCCCAGTAATTGATTCAAGATCCTAGGCTTAGCCACCATAAGGTTCAGTTTTATAGATGAACAATCTGTAGCCCCAGACAACCAACCCATCCCCTGTCTCCTCCCTGTACATAAAAGTATAGAATGGCACCCCATCAGATGATGGATGGTAAAACAAAATGTGGGATGCACCAATGACAAAATATTACTCAGCCTTAAAAAAGGAAGGAAATAAAGACATATACTATAATGCAATACAGATGAACTCTGATGACATTTGGCTCAGGGAAATAAAGTGACCATAAAAAAAAGACAAATAGAGTATGACTGCACTTATATGAGGGAATTTAAATAGTCACATTCATACAAGCAGATTATATATATATATATATATATATATATATATATATATGGGCAATTGTCTAGAGACAGAGGGAATGAGGAACAAGAGGTTGTATTCCATGGTTTGGAGTGTCAATGTTACAAGGTAAAAGGAATTCATGGAGACAGTAATGATGGCTGAACAGCATTATGGATGTATTCAATGCGTTAATGATAGCAGGTTAGGTTCTAATTTGTATGCACTAGACCTCCCATTTAAAAGTGGTATCATACAGCAAAATGAGACGTGACAGTCTGGATAATTGGACATTAGTTTTACCATCGAAGATTAAAAATATCAATAACAATTTATATTGTGTAATTTATACGGGGAAAAAACAACTTTAGAATCTGCAACCAGATGTGAGTGCTGAAGTTGTCATAATGCTATACAGCCATTAAAAGGATGCTTAAGCGACAAGGCAAAATGTAAAACTTTATGTGGAGCATGAACTAAATTGTGGGGGGAAAACGTAGTACACGAGATCATGAACAGCTATCTTTGAATGATAAAGGGATGAATGATGGCTATCCTCTTTTAAGACATTTCTATTATTTTAAAATTTGGGATGTTACTTTAAAATCATAAAAATGTAAAAGTTACATCTTTAAATCCCAATAACAATTGAGTGGTGATATTATATATTCCAACATTGGTAGAGTTTTTCTGTTGTTTGCTTTGTTGTTTGTTGCTTTTATGCTGTTTTTATTGGGGGGGGGGTTGTTTTGGTCAGTTGTAGGCCTTGAACTCAGGGCTAGGGTGCTGTCCCTGAGCCTCTTTGTGCTCAAGGCTAGTGCTCTACCACTTGAGCCCCAGCACCACTTCCAGTTTTTGAGTGGTTAATTGAAAAGTCTCACGAAGACTTTCCTGCCTGGGCTGGCTTCTAATTATAATCCTCAGATCTCAGCCTCCTCAGCAGCTAGAATTACAGGTGTGAACCACTGGCACCCAGCAGGGACTATCACATTTTTAACACCTCAATTTGTCTTGGTTGAGTAGTGAACAATTCCAGTTAGTTACTCATTAAGCATTTCTGTCAGTGACTGGGGAAGATAGATATTCCTAGGCAAGCAAGCAGGGAGGAATAAGGCAAAATGGAAACTAAAGATACAACTCTGGCCTCGCTGCAAAGTGCAACCTATTTGGGACAGAGGTTAAATGGAAATGCACGCATCATAGAACAGGCCCTCCCAGTCTGCGGTGGGCCCCAGGCCTTGCCACCCATGACTTCTTCATCGAATTAGCCATGCGCTTTCTCTGGTGCCTCTCTGATGTGAGACCTGAAAGGGTTATGGGTCTGGAATACCAGCTCCAGGTGCCCTGGGAGAGCTTTCGATTTTCCTGGTGCCCCCAAAACTTCAATTCTTTGGCTCAGTCTTCCATTATTTTCCCTGTCTGTTGCGGTGGCCAACGACACTCTGGGATATGAAAACAGCCTTCTTAATCTCAAAATATTCCTTCAGTCTCATGAAAATTACGGTGATCAGCATATCTTACCAAGACATTTAACAATATAACCCACCTGGCATGTAAAAGGTGCTTCAATAAGCTAGTTAGGTTATTCTGCAATATGAATATCCTGTAATGGTGCAGCATAAGCATAACGTTTTATAAGATTCACACAGAAGTAATTTGATTCTGGTCCTCCAAATCATTTCACAACGAGATAGCCAGATGCTGGTAGCTCATAACTGCAAGCCTAGCTACTAGGGAAGATAAACCCTGGAGAACTAGGGAAGATCACAGTTTTCAAGGGTAGCCTTGGCAGTTTTGGGGTTCTGGTACTAGAGTATGAACTCTGGGCCTGGGCACTCTCCTGAGTAGTTTGCTCAAAGCTAGCTAGTGCTCTACCACTTCAGCCATAGCTCCACTTTGCAGATTTCCCTTCTCTTATTGGTGTGGTTAATTGGAGATAAGATTTTCCACCCAGGCTGGCTTCCAATGGAGATCCTTAGATCTCAGCCTCCTGAGTGTCTAGGATTACAGGTATGAGCCACCTATGATCAGTTGATTGGCTTTTAGATACCTTTCTTACCTTTGGTTATATGTCATTCTTTCCTACATCATTTGTGTCCTCTCTGCTTCTTGACCTTTTCTTGGTTTGTTGGTTTTTCTTTGATTCATCAAGTCTGGCTTTGTCTTTATTAACATTTTTGCAGTTTTCTCCTATGTCTTTTGGTTTGCATGTTGCTTTTGCAATGAGTACATTTAATGTTATGTGATTTCATGGACTCAACTTTTCTATAACTAATTTTGTTGTGTAGGGATTTTGTTTCTTTCATGTATTATATATATATTATATGCACTTAAATGCTTTTGGGATGTTTATGGAGATAGAAATGTTTACTACCTTGATGTGAATTTTACATGTTGTATACGTGTAGCGAATAGCATCACACTGTACCCTTTAAATTCGTCCAAAGAAAATATATTCTTTTAAAGTTCATTACCACTTGTGCTTCTCTTTAATCCAGAATCAAGGCATTTCCAACTCTATGTCAGGTGGGAAGTTCTGGGTGTTAATTGTATTCTTGTATTTTTGTTTTCTTTTTCTTCTTTTCCTTCTTTCTCTGTATTCTTGTATTTTCATGTTGATGTTGTCAGTATGATTTCTGCCTTTGCAGTAATGATGAGCTTTATTTTGTGATGAAGTTCTTTCTATGTTTTGGAAAACAGGGCAGATGCACATAAGGCTGCGCGGTATGTGGTTACATTACATATACATCCTTCAGATTATTTTTTATTTTATTTTTGTCCTGGTACTGGGGCCTAAACTCAGGGCCTGTGCACTGTCCCTTAGCTTGTGTGCCGAAGCTGGTGCTCTACCACTTGATCCACGGCTCCACTTCCAGCTTTTTGTTGGTTACATGGGTGGCAAAAGTCTCACGGATTTGTTGGCCCCAGCTTGGCTTCGAACCGCGATCTTCAGACCCCAACTTTCTGATAGGATTACAGGAGTGAGTTAGGGTTATTTTGGCCGTGTGCTCATGCGTGTCTTATCTGGACGATGAACCCCAGGACGTCCACAACTGAGCAAGCAGGGGGAAGGAGTTGGGGGCGCAGACGGGGGGGGGGGACTAGACAGGAAGCTGAGTAACGGGATCTGGAAGCTTCCATGCCTCACAGTGACCTGGTCACCGATGGAGGGGTGACACCAGTCTTCCTCTACAGGCCTCC